TAGCATGAATTTGGGTAGATACACCTCTATCTTCCAGGCAGAAATTTTCGCCATACTTCGGTGTGCGGAAATCAATCTGCAAAAACACTACGTCAACCATATAATTTACATAAACTCTGATAGTCAAGCAGCACTGCTAGCACTGAGGTCAAACTTAGTGAACTCGAAGCTAGTTGGAGACTGCGTGAACCATTTAAACGCCTTGGAACAAGGTCGTTTTAAGATGGGTTCCGGGTCACGAGGGTATTGTAGGCAACGAATTTGCCGACAAACTTGCACGGGAGGCAAAAAGTGCACACAATTTGGACCTGAGCCATTTTGTGGAATCTCAAGAAGCCTAGCCCGATTGACCCTTGAAACTCTTTATCACAATAAATCACTTAAGATCTGGTCTGACACACCAGGCTTAAAACATTCTAAAACCTTAATCCGGGCTTTAGATCGTAAATTCGCTTCAGAAACCCTGGGATTAAGTAAAAATAAATTGCGCATTCTGGCAAGAGCCCTAACTGGACACTGTTGTCTTAAAAAGCATATGTACATCCTGGGACTAAGCAATTCCGGGATGTGTCGGTTCTGTTCCATAACGGAAGAATCGCCTCTGCATATCCTAACTGAGTGCGGACCCTTAATGCGCAAACGTAACACTCATCTGGGAAACTATCTACTCCGCCCAGAAGAAGTGAAATTGCTCACGGCTAAGCAACTCCTTCTATTCATTGAAGACATAAGGCTTAGCCGTGAACTATAGCCATAGCAGCGATCACAATAGATCTTCTAGGTCGCAGTGATACTGGTCTCCTTCACTATACGTGCATAGCGCCCGCACTTAATAAAAAAAGGATGGTGTATTATAAAAATATACTCGCTCAAAGAACAACCGGATCTAAAAATAATACATATATTCAACCTTGATCTAAATAAAACTACTCAAGATCACGCTTGCAAAAACCTAATAGTAATGGGAGACTGTAATAGCCAAATTGGAGAAAGGTAATGATTTCTTATATTTACGCGAACATTGCACATGATTAAAACTACTTTTACGGATTTTGTCGCGTTTATTTTTATTTTTTACTTTTTATTTTTTAATTCCCGACGTTTCGGGCGCTTTCCAACACCCATGGTCACGGGGGACTGAGATGACTGACGTCCCGATGTCATTGTTAAACCCGGAGTACCTTCAGCTTTTTTAATTATTGTTTATGGTCCGATCTATGCAAAATGAACTGACTATGTCCTGAGGTCTTGCAGTGGTATGCTTGGGTTTAGTTTTAATTTTATTGATTATAGGATCCCAAGCAGGTGGTAGTACCCAGCCTCCTTCTCTATTGAAATTAGGATGTTTTTTAATTTCAATAGCCTCACGTATCATCCTTGGTAGGAATCGGTGTTCTTTCGCGAGGATTTGTGGTCTATCAAATCTGATGTAATGGTTGGGGCCGTCTAGGATATGATCACAAACTGCAGACTTCCCGGAACGTTGATGCTTCACATCAGCTATATGTTCTTTTACGCGGGTCCTAATTGATCTTTTGGTTTGTCCTATATAAGAGAGACCACATTCACAATCAAGCTTGTACACTCCTGCATCTTGTAGAGGAATATGACAAGGGTAATAAACAAAAGGTAATTCTACGGTTATAATGGATACGTCAGATTACAATTTTAAAATACAACAACTTTTGTCGGATGAAACTACTTATCGAAAGGTCAAAACAGACCCTACAACTAATACGCTTAAAACAACTAGCGATCTAATTAAGAAATACTCCGAAAAATTGAATCTGGACGTTAATTCGATAATACCTTCCTGTGCCAAACCACCGAAGTTGTATGGGTTACCAAAGATACACAAACCGAATGCTCCATTACGTCCAATAGTGAGTCAGATTGATTCGCCAACTTACAGATTGGCTCAATACTTAGCTAAAATATTATCACCACTCAGAGGACACACAAGAGCACACACTAAGGATTCATACCATTTTGTCAGTGAGATAAAAGACCTACATCTTACTGACAATGAAACCATGGTCAGTTTTGATGTTCAGTCTCTATTTACATGCCTACCTGTTGAAGACTGCATCTCAATTATAACTAGGAAACTAGAGGAAAATAACATGCCAGCAGAATATGCAGTATTACTAAGACATTGCCTTACATCTGGCTATCTATTGTGGAAGGAAGAGTTTTACAAGCAAGTAGATGGTGTGGCGATGGGCTCACCTGTATCTCCCATTGTCGCCGATATATTCATGGAAGACTTTGAGGAGAAAGCCCTCCTTACTGCACCTGTTACACCAAGGATCTACAAGCGGTACGTAGACGATACTTTCACAATTTTACCATCAGACAAAGTAACTGCATTTTTAGAACATCTTAATTCCATAAACGCTAAAGTTCAATTTACTATGGAGTTAGAGGCAAATAATTCCTTACCTTTCCTAGATGTGTTAGTCATCCGAAATTCTAATAACACCATTGGTCACACTGTGTATAGGAAAAAGACCCATACAAACCGATATTTAAACGGTCAATCTCACCACCATCCTTTACAGTTAGCTACCGTGGGCAAATCTTTGTTACAGAGAGCACGAGGGATCTGTGACAGCAAACACCTGGCCGCCGAGCTTCAGCACGTCAAGCAAGTTCTGCACGACAACAAGCTTCGGGTCCCGCGCCTACGTCACAGTGACCGAGTGAAGCCGGCCACAGTCGAGCGTGTGCCTGCTGTACTACCATATGTCAGAGGTGTCACAGACAAGATTGGCTATATCTTGAAGCGAGCTTCTATTAGAACATTCTACAAGCCGCCGAAGAAGATTAGTCAGTTCCTACCATCCGTCAAGTGTCATATTCCTCTACAAGACGCAGGAGTGTACAAGCTTGATTGTGAATGTGGTCTCTCTTATATAGGACAAACCAAAAGATCAATTAGGACCCGCGTAAAAGAACATATAGCTGATGTGAAGCATCAACGTTCCGGGAAGTCTGCAGTTTGTGATCATATCCTAGACGGCCCCAACCATTACATCAGATTTGATAGACCACAAATCCTCGCGAAAAAACACCGATTCCTACCAAGGATGATACGTGAGGCTATTGAAATTAAAAAACATCCTAATTTCAATAGAGAAGGAGGCTGGGTACTACCTGCTTGGGATCCTATAATCAATATAATTAAAACTAAACCCAAGCATACCACTGCAAGACCTCAGGACATAGTCAGTTCATTTTGCATAGATCGGACCATAAACAATAATTAAAAAAGCTGAAGGTACTCCGGGTTTAACAATGACATCGGGACGTCAGTCATCTCAGTCCCCCGTGACCATGGGTGTTGGAAAGCGCCCGAAACGTCGGGAATTAAAAAAATAAAAAGTAAAAAAATAAAAATAAACGCGACAAAATCCGTAAAAGTAGTTTTAATCACGGAGAAAGGTACCCAGGGAAAACATGATACTAGCACCAAAACCAGAAGTAGAAATAGAGAAAAATCACAAACTACACTAGGGTGCCAGGCAGCATCGAGTCAGCAGATTTGCATTCACTCATGAACATGTGAATTATGGAGCAGTTGAGTCAAGTACTATTCACAGATGGATCCCGATTTTGCTTAAGAGTTTTATTTTTCGGATATTATTAACCAAATAATAATTTAATCAGATTCAGATTAAGGAACACTATTTGTCTCTTTAACTCCTCTCTCTCTTCCTCCTCTTAGTTATGGTCATTAATCTACCTAAAGTATGTTGTCATTTTAGTATATAAGTTCGTATTTTTTTTTCTAATTTAGTACAACCTACCCGTTAATCTTATTTTTATTTTTAGTAATTTCCTCATCTGGGTTTTCTGGAAGAGATTGCTATGCAGTAATAAGACCGCCTTTTGTCTTTCCCTCATTGTTATTGTTCATTATTTGTTAAATATGTATATATATATATATATAGGTATATATATATTATATATATATATATATATATATATATATATATATATATATATATAATTATAAGTGTATTTATGTATAAACTAACATATACATAATATTATATTATAGGTTTTGAATAGTATGAATAAATAAGTTAGTTTTTCTTTCTCTCGCGGCTCTACCCATAGATAGCTCTCATCACACTACAAAAGGTTAGCTGGCAGAGAATGCCTTTTCGGCATTAAGTTCCCCTTTGTAACAAATTGTTTTGTTTGAGTGCAATAATTAATTTTTATCTATCTATTTGTTATATTTATGTTTCGTTGGTGTACAATAAAGAGTATTGTATTGTATTTAATAAAAAATCAATGAGACATGACACTAAAAAAAAATCTAAGACAATTAATTACTTAAAATTCAAAGTGAGTCGTTATTTGTGCCGGTCGGTGTATTATAAGTACTCTATTCACATAAACGATTAAAACTTAGTCTAGTCTAGTATTTGGTTCTTGTTTACTGTCTGCAGATCTGTTTCACATCAGCTATATTCTTTTACGCGGGTTTTTATAGGTCTTTTTTTTCGCCCTATATATTAGAGACCACATTTAGTTTTTTTTTTATTTTGTCTCATATATGAGACAAAACATATATAACACACTATAGTGGTATATTTTTTATGTCTTAAAAAATACTACATTTGAAATTCAAACATTTATGAGCGGTCAGGAACGCAGAACTTTCAGTGTGCCTTTTGGGTATGCCATATATATACAATTGACAATTATAATTGGAATTTGCTGAAGGCAATGTCAAATTAAATTGTGTTAGCTCATTTCGTGTTCGTTGTTGTCTGCATCTGTTTGTACTACAGTCAATCACGTCAACGGGGATTTACTGTGCTAACAGCAGACGTCCGAGTTTCCGACGTGTGAGAAACGTTTATTATGCATATAAATATGTGTGGGCGACGTGAAAAATTATTGTCAGTAACAAAGCGACGTACAACGGACCAACGTCGGATAAATAATATTAATATAAGTGATAAATCATAAAAAGAACTCATAAGATGTTTTATCAAATCGGTGAGTTGTTTATTCCACAAATTTTGAATATCTGTGTAGCTATTAGCTTAGTGATATAAGTTAAAACATTTATTTTTGAAAGAAGTTTCATTAAATCACAATGCGTAAATAAAGACGTTGGCACCTATGGCAAATATACCTCCAATGAGTAAATATATGGAGGAAGCCTTCGTTAGCGGTGGACATTTGATAGACTGTAATGATAAGTCAATAAATATAATATTGAGCTATTGACCTGTTTAAATTAAAATAAAACGGCGTTATCTTTTGCTGTCGTAAAATCGTAAAATTCTTGTGATATATGCAAAAGATATTTTTAATATATGGAGTTACAGTTGTAATATCGCAAAGGATCTGTCCGGTTATCTGATATTTTGAACAGTTAAAATATTGAGCATTTCATTTTATTACATTCCATTATTTAGTAGATACGTTGCTGATGATATGGATTCCTTATACCAATCATCCGATTACGATGAAGCTTTGGTGGGTTGTTTGCGCGTCGGCGAATATTTCTAACATAAAGATATCGCAACGCGTGCCGGGCTTTCAAGTGAATTTAAAAAGAAATCACAATAAAATCGAGGCAATAAATTCCGATTATCGTTAAAAACCTAGGCAACAAAGTCAGTCTTTTTACAAAGACAATGGTCAAACAGGATTCTTTTTTTTATAGCATTGGGTGACAAACGAGCACACAGTTCACCTGATGGTAAGTGAATGTTGTGGCCCATAGACAACCATATTTAACTTTAGTCTTTTTATGTAATTTTAACTAATTTCAAAAAGGAAGAGGTAGGTATTCAATTCGACTACTACTGATTATTTATATGTGTTACGTCAGAACTTTTTTCTAGGTGAACCGATTTTGATGATTCCTATTTTATTTTAAAAGCCGGTGCTTCTCGTACCTATGCTTCATTTTTTTTTTCATTACAGCCCTTCACAAGTCCACTGCTGAACATAGGCCTCCCCCAAGTAATGCCACAAAGCACGGTCCTGAGCCACCCGCATCCATCGACTTCCTGCATGTCTTACCAGGTCGTCACTCCATCTAGTGGGGGGTCGCCCTACACTACGCCTACCGGTACGAGGCTGCCACTCGAGAACCTTTCTTCCCCATCGGTTATCGGTTCTTCGAGCTATATGGCCGGCCCATTGCCACTTCAGCTTACTAATCCGTTGGGCTATGTCGGTCACTCTGGTTTTACTGCGGATATCCTCATTTCTGAGTCTATTACGCAGTGAAACTCCGATCATAGCCCTCTCCATAGCTCGCTGAGCGACCTTGAACGTCCTCATACGGCCAGCGGTACCTATGCTATCTATGCTTCCATATAAATTTGATCAAGATCTGACCAGTCGTTTTTGAGTTATCTTTAATAAAGCGTATTAAATTGTCTTTGAATACATTGATGATATTCCCATTTTATATCTATTGAAGTCGGTTGTACAAAATTTTTTATTTACCACTTATATAATCTAACATTAGGAACCTGGTCCAATGAGAACGCTGTGCGTTATATATTACATTTCACAAAACTGACAGATCATCAGGTCATAAAATAAAGAACTCTCTTCATTTTGTGATCAGGTGGAATGTGTACTTGTTTATCACCATTTATCACCCTTACTTGTATAGAAATATTTTAATACTACAAATGAAAATTAATGTTTAAAATAAAAGAACTTTTTAGTGTGTATTGGTGAGTTGAATTTAAAATACTTTAAATTCCCCAGGTGTGTTGTTCGTGGTTGGGTGCTACCTCACAGTAACCACTGCTCTGCCCCCATGCGTCTGTAGTGCGATACACGACCAGAAAACCGTGTGTGGCTCCGATGGACAGACATACAGTAGCGAGTGCATGTTGAACTGCGCCCGAGCCAAAAACCCTCACATAACCATGCAGGGTGAGGGCAGGTGCAAGAGGGAGGCGCCTAGCTGCTTCTGCACCTTCGAGAACAATCCGTTGTGCGGTACAGATGGGCAGACCTATTCCAACGAATGTGAGTTGAAATGCAAGCAGGCAGTCGAGCCGAACCTCCGCGTGGAATATATTGGCGAGTGCCGCGCCAAAAGACAAGTGAACGTAGCAAGCATCTCGCGCTGCTCCTGTCCCAGGGATGCGAAATACGTGTGCGGAAATGATGGTAACACCTATGATAACGCGTGCCTCTTAAACTGCGCATCAGAAGCCAACCCGAGCCTGTATGTTCAACACAGTGGACCCTGTGATAATGCCGTCAAAGTCGTCGATGACGCTGAAAACAATCCCTCTTGTACTTGTACAAGGAATTACAAACCCGTGTGCGCTTCAAACGGCGTCACCTTCGGAAATGAATGTCTGATGCAGTGCTCCGGCACGCATCTGACTGTACAAGCGTATGGTCCTTGTTAGGCTTATTAAATAAATGGCATTTACTGTTTTCTGAATCATATTACATGATTATATTTATAAATATATAGTGTAACAAAGAAAGACATTTACAAAATTAAAATACGCATATTTTGCAAACAAAATCAATAACTTGTTAATTAACTAACAATAATATAAAATTTTAATTTAGGTTGAAATATTATGCTAACATTTATAGGGCATCTTATGGCCTAGGCCTAATGGTCGCCACACACGGTCAGTTCACCTGATCATTCCAACTGATCAGTTCAAACTAGGACTGTTGATATTTTTTAAAATATCGGATTTTCGATATATCGATAAATAAACTTATATATAAAATTCCGATATTGATATATTTATAATTACACCATATAGACCATTAGACCTCCACTCAGATTTATGTCTCGACTGGTAAAAAAATCGTCGCTGATCTTTCGATGATACCCTAAACAAAATCCTTAGGTAAAATTATGACGCGCAAAGCTAACATCAAAAAGAACATAGGTACCTAATATCAGTCAATCAATCGGATAGTAATTAATATAAATATCACATTAGCACCTATAATTGTATGTAATATTTTAAACTATCATCATAGTACAGGACAATATTTTTTTAATTAAATGAACTTTATTATTTAACGGTGTTTTCGTTAAAGCTCATTCCGTTTTTTAATGTTCACATGCATACCTCATACCGTTCAAGTAACTATATTGCGTGTGCTGCAGAAAGTACTTAAGATCAATTAAAAATAAAAATATGTAATAGAAATGTTGGTTAATATCTACTTTATAATATGTTATAAATGGTTTTCTTATTTTTATGCGATAATTTTATTTTGTAACGTTAAAAAATAAATTGTGATTATTTATAACCAGTATTATTAACTTTTTATTTTTGCGATCAACGTGATCTGTATTCGTTTAAAGATTTAGTTAGCAAATGAATTAAAATTTTAAATGCAGAAGTTGCTTTTCTGTAAGAGCTCTGGACTTGTAGTTACAGGTTATTTCCTAGATGAGGGCAGTGCACATTGGACAGCATTCGGTGAGAATTTAAATGTAAAGAACAAGCTTATACGAAGTGCTAGCGCAGTAAGTACATATTATGTAGGTTGTTATTCGAGGTTAGAATCTGTACACACCCTAAATTGCTGGACTTGGACTGGACGATGTGTGTTTATTTTAATATCTAATATTGTCCAAATAGAATTTCAAGTAGAATGCGTAAATTGATTTTACTTATTCCTAGGGCTTCTGTAGCGCTAATTTAATATATTATGCGTCCAGATAAGAGATTTAGAATTCTATAATTAAATCACTAATCCGACTAGATATAAAGTAATTTGTTATAGAACACATTTTTAAGAGTTTCCGATCAAGACACAATCTCGAAAAATGCTCAAATAGTCTTGTTGATTAACCATAATTGACGTACGACCTGTTTAAAGTTTAACCATTTGAAGGGTTGACTCAATTCGCAGTTATAAAATAATATTTTTAATAAAGTCTACTTTATGTAATACCAGCCCCGGATTTGCACAGGTTATTTCTACAACAGAGCCACCTACCGCGTCCAATTGTGAACCTAAACCACAGCGTAAGAAGTAAGGACTCTTCTTTACTCATGTGCCTAAACCATCCACAGACCTACTCACACATAAAAAATTCATCAGAATCGGTTGAGCCAGTTTCAAGATTTAGTGAGACTAGCGGATAACAATTGATTTTTATTTAAAGAGCTTATTTTTGTTTGAATTATTTTAATTATACCAACAAAAATCATGTTTCTGTACATGTGGAGCTTTTGCACACGAATTTAGAAACATAGCACAGTGTTATGTAAGCCAGGTGTATGGAGGGTAAAGGTAGGGAGCAGGTAGCGCTAGCGTTACAAGAGAGGAAATTATATGAATTTAGCAGTTGTAAACGGAGTGAAGTGAAGCCTAAGTTGAAAATTTTTGTCTCTGGTGACTTTTAACTGGGAGAGTAATTTCATTTTTGTAAGCTTTTTATAATATTTCTTCATGATTTTATTCTCTTTACTGCTGTAAAGCAGAAAAAAATTATTAAAAAGTGTAGTGGGCGAAATTTAAAAAATAAAGAATATTATGTCCCAGGCTTGTCTTTTTCCCGAACAGTAAGTAAAATAAATTTATATAAATTATTATTTGTTCAATTAACAATTCATTTACATATACACTTATATAAATATCTTGATAATTGTAAAAGTGTATTTCTTTGTTTAACTTTAGCCTACTCTAATGATTTTTGGCGCTATCTTTATAATTTGCGCCCTTGCAACCGAAGCGCCACCTAATTGGACACTTCTTGACGAGACTTTCATATACACAGATAATCCTCCTTACCTTTACCCCACATAGCTAGGTGCTAACAAGAAATGTGCAATGCCATAGGTTGTTATTTAATACGCTAGTGAGTAATATAACACGAATCAAATTCTCTTTTAAATCAATTGAAGAAAGTTGTACATTTCTATAGATGCCTACAGATATCAACTCTTTTATCAGCGAAGCCGACAACTCTGAATGTAACGACATTCAGAGTTGTCGGCCAACAAACTTGGCCCTCTTTTTACATTTATGGTTTTACGCGGCTAGGCGAAATATAATTAAAACAAATGCCATATAACGCAATGCCGTAAAAGTTTGTTAATCCATAAATTTTGGTTCTAAATAAAATAAAAAACTTTTGTCTTTGAAAGACATCAAAAGTAAATTTATTCCGAATGAGAATCCAAATAGTTAAGAGTAGCCATGACTTGATTCTTAAAACACGATGAGATACATGGATGTACTTATAAAAAAAATTATACGTCCATGACGTGATAATAAGCAAACTTATTGAGAGAATTCGACTGTTATCTAACTTCGATGCACAGAATTAATTATAACAATAGAATGTCGAGGCTTTTTAGTTTAAACTTATGACCATAAATCAATAAATGCATATCAAAGTACAGTAAACCTTAGTATAATATACTTTATGGTAATAGTTCCAAAGTCTAAAGTAAATAGCTTATCCATAGGTAAGATAAGATACCTATCTATATTTATCTTATCAGCCTTTTAAATCAATTGCTGGGTGAAGATCTTTCTTAAAACGCACCAAACAGACCTCATCTTAATTTTAAAATGGTCACATAACTAGAAAGATTTATGTCCATTACAAAACTTAGAACAGGCCTGTGACCAGATAGACAAGGGTGCTTTATGGCAAACATTGGCCAAGTTTGGGTTGATCACTGGGTGGTGGTCAACCATTAAAATCTCTTTATAGGGACTCAAGTGCATGTTTTAGGATAAACGGGGCCTGCAAAGTCTGGCTTGGTATTCATAAAGGTCTCAGATGAGGTTGATAGCTATTTAGAAACTTTGAAATTCAGAAGAATGTGGATTAAGAATGGGTTAGTTGACTTTTGTATTCACCAGGTCTTTAAAACAAAAGACAATGAAAGTAAACGCGAGCATAAGAAAGTAATACTTTTTGAAAGAGGAGAAAATAATGCTGTATGTGTAATAGGAATAAAATAGCTAGTGGATGAGTTTGTGTATTTAGGATGTGTATTTAGCAAAATGATAGACGTGACAAGAATATAGAACGAAGAGCGGTTGCAGGACCTGGACTAATATTGAAGATAAAGAAAATAAGAGTACCGTGAACCGACGAGCATGTATGCGTATGCGTGCAATGTGAAAGAAGTCTCTTGCTTCTTTGTGGTGGGTTAGGTTCGTGCTTAATCGAAGCCTTTAGCCTCTGCTCTCCTCCTTGGGTGACGGACGTGAGAGTTCATGAATTATGAATTATGTCGCCGTCGTGTACCTTACTCAGGAATTTTATAGTAATACTTGTTATCATTTTAGTGTCAGTATTGGTTAACAAACATCATTTCAATGTGTGAAGGCCTTTGATATCGTGAACACAGATATCGACATATTTTGTATTGTATAATATGATTTATTTATTTTATTTATTTATACTTACGGTAACAGCACAGATATATAATAATAACAAAGAAGATAAACCTATAATCATTCAAATAAAATTGATGTTTTTGTCTGTAATATCGAATTAACTGCCTTGTGTCGAGCTTTGGAGCATTGTCATGTCATTAAGGCATGAATAGCCGTTTAAAAAAATATCTGTTCGTCTGTCTGCCTGGGTCTGGGCTAAGCTTTTTTTTATAGAAAAAAATAAAGGTCACAAATGAACAGACAGCCCACCTGATATTAAGTGGATGCTGTGGCCGGGCCACAAATATGTAGGAAGGAAATATGTAGACGTCTGTCAGCAGACATCTACATATTTCCTCAAATTGGAATCAAAAGCAGATGCGTCGTTACTCCTAAGGATTAAGATGGAATACCTCGTTTCCAGTAGAAACGACATCCGTTTCTGTATAGAGGTGGTCTTTCCCCGGTCGAGTACCCATTTATGAAATATTATGGACTATCTTTGGAATATCTGGATTTTTGTGATGATACTTCACGGACCGATAGAGAACAATGCCAGGAGTAATCTAGGCCCCTCGTACTTTATCCGATAGCTCTGTGAAGTATATTTTGTAAGAAAGTAGAAAAAATTAATTATTATTGCATGATTATTATAAAAATCCCAATGATGCTAAATAATAGATTCTACCCAGGTGAAGCCGCTGTAGCTAATGATAATAAAGTAAAATTATATTGCCGTGTAGTTACGCTGCTAGTGGATGTTACGCTGCTAGTGGATGTTACGCTGCTAGTGCGATGTTCAACCATATCGTGCTCGTGGGTGTAAGAGGCGACAGACTGACAAAATAAGAAAAAAAATATTTCGAAGACATGTGAAGTTCGTCAACACGCATTTGGGCAGCGCGGCGGACACTTCCTTGCCCTAAACCCTCTCAGAAATGAGGGGAGGCCTGAGCCCAGCAGTGAGACGTATATAGGCTGTAACTTTACTTTACTTTTAGATATAAAAGAAAAGCAGAGAATTCCTCGAAGTCAAATTAGGTCCCTATTTCAGCCATTTGCTCTTTGCTGTACCAGAGTGTGGCAAACTAGAGTGTGCCATCTTTGAGGCAATCATTGGGAGAGGCTTATGTGCAGCAGTGGATTTTTATAGGCTGTAATACAGAAACAAATACATGTAGTATTAGTCGCTCCCCAGGCTGAACACCTTGCCCAGCGGGAGATCTCCCTTTTTCCTTTCACGGTCGGAGATACAATTATATGCGTAACTAACTGTGGAGTCCTAACTGTGGAGTACTAACCGTTTTTACTCCAGATATAAATTTTAAAATGTATCAGTGTGTACCAATGGTAGTAGGAGCATTGACTTATATATTACTAGCGTAAGGACCGGGCCGACTGAACAACTAAAACGGACCAGTTTGCTGGCCCTAAAATTACAGTTTAGGGCTAACGCGAATCGGTCAACAGTGGTGCGCGCGCAGGACAGATTTGCCTGTCATAAATATGTCTAATTGCGTGGTAAAATGATGCAAAAATTACGATACAAAGATTAAAAAGGAACATGGGAACATCATCGGTAAATAACCTTGTATTAATTTTGTTACTTTAAATTTTAAATAATTATATAAACACATTTTCAAAATTTTATTTTACAGTTAGTTACCCTGTTAACCCTGACCTAATCTTGGTATCGTTAGTTACGTTAGGCCAGGGTTAGATTCAGACTCCCAAAAAATTGTAGATGGAAAATAAAATATTACTATTTTAAAAAAAATTATATCACGTTCGACGTTTCATGTTTCTTTTTTCCCATGTGCCGGGATTTTGGCGTCACGCGTCTAGTTTATTTAAACAAAAAAAAAATTGACTGTATTTTTTATTTCTGTTTAATTTTCGAACTTAGTGTAAGTTAAATTTTGAATATTGATACCTAATATATTTTATATTCAATAAAGGAGCAAAAAGAGTACAAAAAAAACCATATCTGCTTAATTGAATCTGAATATCTGGTCCATAAAATATTTTGAAATTCTGTTTTCAAACTGATTGCTTCTGGAGCACAGAGTTTTTATCGTCATTATAGTTGTATCAAGTATGTAACATAAATGCATCGATCGAGCACCGATTGTCCAGAAAGGGAGCTAATTCTAATTATATTAAAAAAAAACGCAGTACTCATGAACAATACAGAAATTCTCGATATCGTAGGTATTAAAAAGTAAAAGGACCCAATAATAACAAGTCGACCTTTAGGTAAAATTATAATATTTTCGTTTAGTGTTATTACGATACTACGAGCTACAAACTATGAGATAATGGTACAATTAGGATAATTATACCACGAAATCCGAACCTGGTTACGTCGTGTTATGATATGACAGGTGCACTACTTTTCTTGTATGAAAAAGTTATGAGTAAAATATTATCCTTCTTCGGCCTATCCTTCCTTTTGAAATCATTGAGTAGGAGTTTAAAAAAGCAGTGTCGTTTGACATTGGCGTCAGCTTATAGTCAATACAACGTTAAAACATACATATATTTACTGAGAATACAGCTTTATATGTAAAACGTACTGGTCTTATACTACTCGTATTTGGTTATATGGACGTGAAAGAAGCGAGAGAGGTTTGTCTGCATCGTGCAAAATGGAAGTCGATAGTTGCTCCCTACTCCTCTAGGCTGACAGGCGTGAGAGTTTATGTTTAAAAACAACAATATAAACATATTTTGTTCAAAAATAAAGAAAATTCAATACCATAAAAAACGAGGGCAATACATGGCGGAACAGTTTATATTTCAGGAGCCGTTGTAGCTCAGGGTCTAAGCGCTCGTTGGAAATTTCACAGTACGCGAGCCCGGGTTCGATCCCCGCCAGCACTAATGATTTTGATGATAGCAATGTTAAGTGCTGATTTACCACGTGCTTTTTACGACAAAGGGGAAGAGAAACGGGAGATGGGAAACTGCATCTTCCTGATAGCAACTCAAAGTTATAATAAACGATTACCAACCCACCTGGCAAGCATTTCAACTACGTCAAAGTTCCCCCCATGAGGCGATCTGTGAGGATGCCTATATGTTCAGAAGTTGACTCTAAGGGACTGTAATGAATGGATCAATGGATTTGCATTATTGAAGCCAAGTTCCTTGTGTAAGGTTTTAATTTTACCTAGGTTTAGGTTTAAAGAGTTTATTATCTCAAAAAAAGAACAAAAATTCACTTATATGGGACTTAAAAATAACATAATTGGTAAAAATAATACATTTAAATACGGTGACTTATATGAATAAAGTTACAGGATTAAAAAAGCACTGTCTTTAAATTAATGTTTGACAGTGCTTTTTAATTTATGTTTAAATAATGAAAACGATTTTTCATGAAATACCTCATTCGGTATGCTATTGTACAATAGCGCTTCCTCAAACTGAATAGTAGTTTTAGTTCTAGCTTTTGGTAATTGCAGTTTATGTTTGTTTCGTGTACAGTGTTTATGTGATTTCGTTTTAAAACTAATTTTGGTGTGTAAGGAATCTAAGGGAATTTTTCTGCCTAGTATGCACGTTTTGTATAATTGACTTATGGATAATGTATCGGTTTTTTTTATAGAGCTCTTTAAAAGGAAAGCGGTGGTCAAGTTGGAATAAAACTTTTAACAATTTGTTCTGGGATATTTGAAAATCATTTATATTAGTTTTAGATGCACTTCCCCATATCTCTATTAAATATTCTAGTAATGACTTAGCTAGTGAATTATAAATAATATTTCGAATTTTATAAGGAATACAATGAGTAGATCTGCGCAATGCTCCTGTCAATGATGTTATTTTTGATTGCAGGTAATCTAAATGAGCTCGCCATGTTAATTTAGAATCTAAAACCAGACCAAGATATTTTTCTGATTCTGACTTTTTAAGTTCTTGGTTATTTATTGTCAAGGGATCGAATTTAAAAACGTTTTTGTGTTTCGCAGTAAAAACCATGTAAGAAGTTTCAGTTACATTTATAGTGAGCAAATTGTACCGAAACCATTAACTCAGTGTATTTACCTTCCTATTGAATCCGCGTTTATCCTAAACTATTGATGCATCAAACTTATAAAGTGACGAAACAAAAAATATTTCACATACATGTTTAATTACTTTCGCAAGGACCAGGATTTTGAACATTGAGATGAGTACCAGAGCAATGCATCATGCATTCGTTTTCGAAGGTGAAGCCGTTTGAGGCGCAAACGGGTTTGTAAACTCTGGTGCAGTTGCAGGTGCCGTTCTTCGCGTGCTCCGCAACCTTAACATTGTTATCACAGGGCCCGTTATTCTGAATATGGAGACCAGGGTTAGAACGGCTCGCGCAGTTCAGTAAGCAAGTATTGTCGTAGGTATTGCCGTTGTTACCACATACATATTTGATGTGACGGGGACATGAACAAGGGGAGACTTCCTCATCGTAAACCTCTATATCGTCATCAATTGGTAGCGGATTCTCCTCACAAGAACCTAATCTATGCAGAGTAACACTTGGATTAAACGATTGCGCGCATTTCAGTATGCACAAATTGCCGTAGGTCTGTCCGTCACTGCCGCACGCTGGTTTTCCTTCCCTTGTGCAGATGCACGGAGGTAACGCTGTTGTTACTGATATGTACGCCGCGATGAGCAACAGATTACCTGAAATGAGAATTATTACATAAATTTAACAAGAGGTTTAAGATATTAACCGAAATTCCAAAACAACACACCATCTGGCTCCTGTGCTAAAGATAAAACTGACATCAGTCTGTCGTTGAGCCTTGACATAAGGCCTTGACTCTATTAATACAAAACGTGTTGTACTTACTCGTAAGCGTAGTGATTCTAATAAACTCCTTAATTAAACTCTGCCGAGAGCTATATTATGTAAAATGGTAAGCAAAGATTATAATATACTTGTAATTGCAAATCGCATGGCTTGTTGCCATACATCGACTACCGTAGTCGACTTCATACGTGTCCAGGCCTGTTGAAGTCATAGATTCACGCTTCATGTCGACTGTGACAACCAAGGCGGCAACCGTAGACCAGCGACTTACAATAGCATGAAATAAACTAATATTTTTTGTTTGGTTTTTTTTGGGTACCTTAAAAAATTTTTTAAATTTTTTTATCCTCCCCTTAGTATATGAAAGTAAAAAAACCGGCCAAGTGCGAGTCGGATTCGCGCATGAAGGTTGCCGTGCCATCGTTTTATTTTATTGTGACACAGTCCACCTGATGGTAAGTGGATGCTGTGACCCATAGACATCCACATTTATTTTCAATTAAGAATCAAAATGCAAATGCGTTGTCACCCCTGAGGACTAAGATGGAATGCCTCGATTACAATAAAAAGGATCTCCGGTGCTCTACACTCACCATACGAAACACAGCAGCATCATACTGCTATTTTATGCTGGTATTCTGTGAGAGCGTGGAACTGTCCTGGTCGAGCTAATCCCTTAAAACAACCCCTAAAAATCGTACACGTTTTTAATAGGGGAGACCCTCTTAATTTTTAACTTATTTTTAGTTTTTGCTGTTGTAGCGGCAGCAGAAATATACATTCTGTAAAAATTTCAACTGTCTACCTATTTCGGATCTTGAGATAAAACCCGCTGACAGACAGACTGATGATTGGACAAAGGAGGCAGTACAGCCGGGCCTCGAGAATACGAACACACAAAATTTACTACCTGTTCGGATTAATGAGGCGTTCGGATTATAGTATGTAGATATTTTAAAAGGCTTTTTTGAAATGAAGCATCGATTTTTACAATTGAAATGTGAATACAAATTTTAATCATTAATGATTAAGTTTAAGTAAGCTTTTACATATGTATGTGTTAATTGACAAAGAAAATGCTTTCATGTTGACAAAATGCTTTCTGAAATTAAAATATCTATCTACTTGAGCAGGGGGGAGTGGTCATTCGGATTATCGGGTTCACTTCTGATATCGAGGCTCTACGGTAATAGGGTCTCGTTGGTTACCCTTCGAGTACGGAACCCTAAAACTCCCTAAAATGCATAAAATATAGAAAAAGGACAGTTCATTCTGAGTCAAAAATCCTATACGTTACAGTTACAAAATTTGATTGAGAGTAAATAAACACTCACGTTAATAAAGATATTAATTAATTTGCAACCATCCGCTAATTAAATACAATGATGTGTCTTTCCTGGATTGGAGAGCACCTACCGCCCAATTGCGTGCACCAATCTTGTCACCACTACGCCCAGCACCACTACTCCCAACTCCCAGCAGCTCACAACAGCACTATTCCAGGAAAGACACACCATCGACGATAATACGATACGTGTTTCACCTCTACACGAGGCATCCTCAGGTAATGTAGACTCTACGGCGGCTGACCGCTAAGCTAATTAGCGTATGGTTGCAAAGTAACTATTAATATCTTTATTGTAATGGATTTCCGCAAAGTAACGCCTGATTCTATCAACACTCACGTTGTCAGTAAATTAAAGCTAGCAGAAGTAAAGTAATTGAAATTTCATAACAAAAGGGAAGTTTTGCACGTGGTGGTAGAGCCATGCTACTACTATATTCAGGTTATAGCCGACATATTTTTCATCATCATCATCATCATCAGTCTATAAAAGACTCGATGTTTTCCTTCACCGCCGAGCACGTGGTAAATCAGCACTTAAAATTGCAAGTAACCATTCCATTGGTGCCGGCGGGGATAGAACCCGGGTTGCTCGCGTTCTGTTATATTTACAGCGAGCGTTAACCATCTGAGTTACCACGACTCCTGCTCCTGCTGAACATATACCTCCTTAAATATAGGCCAGATTTGCCTCAATAATCACTCTTGACAGACGAGCGATCGCATTGCCAGACGTTTCGGGTGGCGACATCACCAAATTTCGTTCCGAGGGTGTCTTAAGACGCAACCTCTCATGGTTAGCATTGGTATGGCAAAGGAATAACTACCGGTATAATCATCTCGTTTCCCAGGTGTAAAATACACAAATTCATCGTTGTTTCATTAATGCACCGTCAAACACGTGGTAAATGAGCACTTTAAATTGCGATTAACGTTTTCAATACGTCAAACTCAGACTGAGCCAGTATTTTGATATTTCAGGCTATCATCCAGGCTCTGAGCTGCTTTGACTTATCCACGTGAAAGAGTCACGCTGTAGCTGTATTGTAGCTGCAGCACGAAGGGGTTGGCTCAACCGGGGTAGGACTACGCTCTCACACAATACCAGCGTGAAACAGCATAAAAGTGTTTCGCATGATGATTGTAGGACCGGAGGCTTGTTTTACTGATTACGAGGAATTCCACCTTAGTTCTTAGCGGTGCATATTTGAAATGTCCTAGACATTATAATAAATCAACTTACCATATTTAAACAGCATATTAAAGATGAAATTTCAATGTGACTAAACAATAATAAATATTATAAATTATATCTCGATTTAACCCGTTCAAAGTAGTTGTCAATACTAATGAAACGAGAATTGTGAAAAGTGCAAATCTGTATGTTATACTTGCACACTCCAAATATCTGAGACTATGTTTATCATTAACACAATTATCACTAGAGTTGCCAAAACTCCCGAAATTCCAAGAACTATTACGGAAAACGCTCACAATTACAGAAACAAACCAAATCAAACCAAACCAAACTAACTGTGTCTGTTTCTAGTTTTAACAGAATGAATATAATTTACTTAAATTACTGACATATATTTTTGTTCTGATAGACGACCTGGTCTGACGGCTTTATAAATATGTTCGCAACGTGACCCAAATAATGTTGCTTTTCCACGGTTTCATCATGAAATCTCTGCAAGGTACACGTTTAAATAGAGATTAAGTGTCATCTTTATAATTTTTTATTGAGAAAATTATTATGATTCGCATTTCTGCCTTTACGCAACACTTGGTCATATGTTAAATTTTTATACAATTAGGTATTTTGTCTTTGCGCAATAATAATGTACATACATTTCAGTAGATTGACAGAGGTTCAAAAAGTTGAAAAGAACTACAACGTCCCGTTAATAGAAATGTTCCCTTTTAAATAATATGATGTGAAAACAAAAAGAAAATTACTATGTTAATCAATAATTTTTCGGAATTGGACATTTATAAATAAGTTATAGAAATGCATTCTAATTTTTTCGTATCTTAAATTATTATGTTTTGCATTTCTACCTTTACATAACACTTGTACATATGTTAATTTTTTTATTTAAAAAAGGTTAAAAACCTTAAAATTTAAAAAGGTGGCCGCGCGCTGTGTTCCTCGAATGTTAACAGACACCCAAAAAAAAGTAAGAGTTGTCATTACAATTCTAAAGTTAGGTATAATTGAAGAAGATCCAGATTCCTTTTGCGCTTGTTTCGTATTTGTAGATGTAAAAAAACCAAAGCAATGTGTGGAAAAACCATCTTCCCCGCCAACCATGAGATAAAAAGGTGTCTGCTTCCGCTGGAAAAATAATGGCGTCTGTCTTCTGAGATGCGGAAGGTATAATAATGATCGACTATTTAGGTAAATGACAGACAATAACGGGAGATTACTACTAAAGAATAAATGTCGAGGAAAATTTCGTGCTGAAGGGCTTTTTTATCTGATGAAGTAATGTGTTCTATATAGGCCTTTTTCGGGTCCCAGGATCAAGCTTTTTCCCAACTAACTTGTAAAACGCTATTCAAGGTGTATTTGCTTAAAAGGCGATTACGTTGAAAAATAAATACAATTCCCATATACTTATCCAAGTTTTATTACATTTCCAAAAACTTAGTGATCAACCTAAAAAAAATAACAAAAATATGTCAAATAGTAAAGATGATTGTAATTTTTCATTTCCAGAAGACACTATTATGTACGCCTTATATAATTTATTTATTTTATTTATTTATCCTTGGGGAAACAGATACAGTTATAATAATTATAAAGTAGATTAACTTGATAATAAAATTGCTTAGGTAATTTTATTACCATGTAGTTTCGAGTCACAATTATTAAATTATTATTCTTACCAATATTTTTTTCTGTTTATTTCAATGATATAATATTCATCAACAAGTTTCACAATGTCAATGAAGATCATTGACTTGTATATTACTTTTGAAATCATTGATCAAGATAGGTTAATTTAATATTAGTCATAATCATCAAGTCATCGTATTGTACTAACTGACTGACTGAACGCTTCACTATTACAATGAATCTGGCAACATTATTTCACAAAGTGACATTAGCATCTGTCAGACAGCTTCGTTTAATTAAAAATACGTTTTAGGGTCAAATGGGTACCGAGATAGAGTATTTTGATGGCGTTCGTGACTTGGTATAATAACTATATTTCAAGTTAATTAATTCAAGTTCATAAGTGCATACCTACCTGAGTTTCATTCCGTAATTTCTCAAAACAAATAAATTTAAAAATGTTTCAAGGTTTACCTGTACGTTCCTATGTTCTTATGTACTTTTACGAAAGGGAGCAGCGATCACGGTTGCATAATGTCGAAATGAAAGGAGTTCCTATAACTTACACAGAAAGTCTGTTTACTCTTCTATTAAAAACTATCTGTGCACCGTGGTTTCATCCGCGTATATCACGCGTCTGGGTCGCGCGACATGAGATGACACCTATTTCAAGCATTTCAGATAACAATGTATGGAAAAATTGTCAAAATTAATGAAGTGCTTGTATATATCGGCATAATTATGTGCTTATGTATTTTAGGGCAAGGCAGTATTCGCCGTGCTGTTTGTTAGGATCTATATAAGTTTGTTTGCGATAGGTCTCATGGTTTTCCATTTGTTTCAACAACTGCAGTTCGCAGGTGACTATGAACATTCCTATGAGCATACGTTTTATCTAGATGTCAACAAAAGGCATATCAATATTAGTTGAAATTACACGCATTATAACTATAATTCGTATTGGCGAGATTCACATGTCTTCGAAATATTTTTAATGCTTTTTATTTTTCATTACAAGTAGGTTTTCTCATGATGTTTTACTTCACCGCCGAGCACGTAGTCAATCAGCACTTAAAATTGCTATTAATGTCGAATATTCGGCTAAATCGCCGAACATTCGTTAAAGTGGTACTCAAAGTGTCCACTGTATTGAAATGTACGAATTGATTAATGCTTCATTACAAAAATTATGAAAGACATGGTATTACTAATGCCATGTCTTTCATAATTTTTTTTCTCTTTATTAGCTTCACCAACGATTGATAACACTATACAGGGTTACTGGTAACTCGACGTATCCCCGCCAAGGCGTGATAGTTGGGGTCATAACCTATCAAATGAACTATAAAATGCATTATGCAAATGTGGACCAATTTCGAGATATTTAGGTTTAATTATTTTTTTCAAAAATCCCAAAAGTCTGGTGTCAAAAATTTCTAAAAAAAAAACTTACAGCTGTATTATTTTCATTTTATTATTTTTACTTAATGAAAACCTGGATACTAATTTATCAATACTACAGTGTGCAAAAAGTCTCATTATTTTCGAAGTAATGCTACTAAAAGTACAACTTTTCCAAACAGAAGATAAGTAATTAAAAATAAAAATGATTTTGTGAAAAATAATTGTATGTGACCAATTGTGCAAATCAAGTTAAAAACATCCCTACTTATCTAGCTACCCAACGAAGTATCAATTTAGCTTGTAACTTAAATAGTACAGAAAAAAACTTGAAAAAAAGGGGCCAGGTAGACAAGTTCCGAGTAGCAATGTTTTGGGTAATCCCAAACAATCGCTTCTCGGAACCTTATCAACAGCTGCGGGAATGCTCGTAAAAGATTGTGCGTTTGAACTTACGCTATTGTTTACATTTAGTGTGAAATTAGAAACAAGTTAAACAAGAATAAACTGTTCAATCAGTCATCAGTATTACAGGCATCGTACACACGCGCGCATATCCCTCCCTGTTACACTTAAAGAAGTTGAGTTTCAAAGTTTTATGGCGGCGGAACCACCAAGACGCGGAGATCATGCAAGGCAATCATTTTCCAACGAGGAATTTGCCTTTTCCTGAAGGCCCTTTCAAGCCGGTGGTCAATCCTTCTAAGAATGCCAGCCAGGACGATTGTACAGTCTGGTTAATCCATTGCTTCTTCGGTGTACCTTCGAGAAAATGAAAAATTCCAATTACTCATTAAATTCACAGGTGGCATGCAATTACTACACTGTAATAGATAAATAAAACAGAGAAAACTTTAATAACCTTCGTTGATCCAGGTTTCATCTTGGTAATAAATGTAACTTCCTTCCCTGCAATAATCTTTAATTTTTTAAAGGTATCATGTACACATAGCACGCTTTTTCTTGATTTTGTGGCGTGTTTTAAAATTTTCCTCAAGGTACTCCAAAAGAAGTTAAGTAATTCTGGGTCATCATTAACAACCTTAAGAATCTGTCATTTAAACAGATTATGGGTAAGAAAGTCTACGCAATAGAAAAAGCTCAAATAAAACCTCAAAAAACGCTATGTGTATGTAAATATGCAGCTTTGATTTGTGTGATAGTGACATGACAGTCGTCGTCACGTACACTGTATCTATAACAAGCTTTACGCACACATAGCGCCGCGCGCAAATATGTAAAAAATAACACTAAAGTTACCTTTGCAATGGTGGGTGCCTCATTTGCATAAAAAAATTGGTGTACTTTTCGCCTTATAGTCGCAAGGTTGTTTATTCTTGAAATTATGTTTCGTTTCAAGTTTTTCAAGAGACTTAAATTGCTCGTTTTGTTTGTATACTTTTAATACACTGAACACTGTGGACATACCGATTCCCAAAATTTCAGCTGTCTTAGAAACACATTTTTTTCCCGGTACTTCAGTAGGTAATACCCAAGCAGTTTCCTGCTCAAATACGTATTTGTAGACATTGCGTGCCATAAGCTTTTTGGTAACGCTAAGAGAAGCTCGTGGTCTCTTCTTTTTGGGGAAAAGAGCTCGACGTGCTTGGTTGAGGTTCCATATCGTTTGTACGAAACAATATAAAAACACAATAACAAACAACACAAACACAACGTAACAAAAAACTTGACAAGGAACTAAAGAAAAGCAACAGGAGAACAGCGCAGAGAGAAAATTTTTGACGATTTTCACGAAATTTTTCACGATCACGAGCGATCAGACCAGAGGTTAGAAGCCGAATGAATGACAAGACAAATGACAGACAAAATGGTGACCGAAACGGCGGGCGCAGGGTGTGTTTCGAATGTCAGAGCGCCCTCTCGAGTCACAATAGTATTAAATTATTATTCTTACTAGCAATATTTTTTTCTGTTTATTTCAATGATATAATATTCGTCAACAAGTTTCACAATGTCAATCAAGATAGGTTAATTTAATTTTGGTCATAATCATCA